CACTTCATTCTGGACTGAAGGGCACTCTTCCACAGCCAGGCATGGGCAGGAAACAAGCAAAAAGCAGAGTCTCTGCTAACTGGGTCCCACAGAAAAGTATTTCCTCTGGCTAGATAAGGGGGTCCTCTCTTAAGGTTACCAAAGACATACAAAATTTTGATAAGCCCTAAAAAAATGGTTCATGTACCCCCAAATCATCAGAACCACTTCCAAATTTAAGTGCCTAGGTTTCTAAACTGAGAGCCAGAATGTAACAAGAATTTCCAAACCAAACACAAACTCACTGCCATGAAGTTGATGCCAACTCAAAATAACCTTATAGGAGAGGGTAGAACTGACCTTGTAGGTTTTTGAGGCCGTAACTCTTTACAGGCATAGAAAGCCCCTTCTTTCTCCCTCAGCGATTGGAGATTTCAAAACTACTGACCTTGCAGTTAGTTAGCAGCCCAAAGAGTTACAGTTAGGATCTCACTGACTGAGGGCTTCTTTCCTGTATCTATGAGATACCGAAGCTGAGATTGCTTCACAGAATAACTTGCCTAGGGATCAAACACCTAAGGGCCATGAATACTTTCAAATGAGGACCACAGTAGTGATCAAGCCAAGGTTGTCCCTCGTGGTGTTTAGATTTCAGTTCTAGAGTGAGCCTGGATTCTAGTCTAGATTAGGGTGGCCAGGTAAAATACAGAATGTCCAGTTAATTATGCAAGGTATCTTTTTGGTTTAAACAAAGTAGTAATAATTTTCTCTGGACAGGAGGCTAAAGTCCGAATTCAGGGCTCTGACTCTAGTGCAACGCTTTTCCGGGGGTGGGGGGAGGGGTGGGCATAGGGAAAGGGCCTTGCCTTTCAACTCTATTCCTCAAGTCCTTGGTGATCTCTACCTGGCATCAATCTGTGCTCGGGTTTTTTTGCAGGGGCTTTTTAAACTACACCAACGAAAAGGTGCAGTTTTTTACATTGCAACATGGTATCAATGCATTACAAAAACATGTTTCTTAAAACAATTCTTTCCCTTAACAATGCCTTTAGTCTAATATTTACTACTTTCTCCCTTAACAATGCCAGGTATGCTAGCATTTACCATTCTCCATTTTTCTGAACATGGTCATCATGACCCACAGCAATGATTTCACAACCTAGGAAAGGGTCATGACTTGTGGTTTGAAAAATACTTCTTTGGAAAACATAAAGAATTTAACCATGTCATATGAGTCACCACAAGAGCACGTCAATTAGCTACATTGTATCACACAACAGTGGAAGCTAAGGAACACAGTCCAAGCCCAAACTCCCAGGATGGAATGGCATTGACGACTGCAGTAGTTTTCTCTTTAAATGTGATTCTCCCATTTCTTAGCTTCCTAACATAGCATTAATACTTGCTGTGTTCATGTATGCCTCTAAAAGTTACACTTCTCTAACTTGCCAATAATCTGTGAAAAGTCATCTATGAAGCAAAAGCAAAAAAAGCTTTGAAAGGCCCTGAAGAACTGCCCTGTCAGCTGCCCCCACACTCCAGGACAGTCTTCTCTCTCCCTGATTGCCAAGTACATTTCAAGGATAAAACGAGTTCATCTGTATAAGGGTCCACGACAAATGTTTATGAGCCCCAAAAGAAAAATGTAATACTTAGTTAAAAATAAATAATCAGAAATAAATAAATAATCCCCCCTTCCCAACCACTGATTTCCTCCCAATCTAGGGCAAAGGAAAGTGAAGGGAAAACCAAGGATTTAAGAAGAAATTCATCCACAGGACTAACAACCCACACAAACCAGAGCTTTTTCTGGCCTGAGACTAGAAGAACTAGATGCTGCTTGGCTACCACTACCAACCATTCTGACCAAGGGCACAATAGAAGGCCCTAGTTAGAATGGCAGAAAAACAATAAACCAAAATTCAAATATTCTCTCTCTCTCTCTCTCTCTCACACACACACATACACACACCAGACTTACTGACAGAACTGGAGGAACCCCTAAGACTCTTGAACTTGGATGCACTTTTAACCTAGAACTGAAGCCACTCCTGTAACTCAGTAACTCAGTTCGGTAACACAGTGAACTTAAAAATAAATATCCAATTCCCAGGACCAATGGAGGAAGATCATGCTCAAAATCTCTGTCTAAAGTGGCAGAGGTTGAAACAAAAGGCACTATAGCACGGAGACCATGGGAGAGGGAAAAGGGGACAGGCTGCGACCAGGCCAAGGCAAGGAAATAATGAGACGGAATGAACAAGAGGAGCAGCACCAAGGCAATGAGACCATAAGGCAGACTAGTGTGGGCGGGCCTCCTTGCCCAGGGAAGCAGAGCCCAAGGGACCACGTGGGCAAGAGGATGAGGACCAGAAAGAGATGGCAGTTAGATGAAGATAGGTATTGCTGTGGATCTGTAACTATATCCTTACTGTTTACTTATTGATCCTGACTTGTGATAACCTACTACACTTTCCTAACAAGCCCCACAAAATTATGACAAGTAAAATAAAATATCACTCAACAGGAATATGTAACTTTATACTATCACAAAAGCAAAGATGAGAAGGCAAGGTGGGTCAAGGGAACCGGATGAAGGTAGCAGGCAGGGGCTAGAATGACAAGGAGTGCTTCCACATTGTGAGGACTGTTCACATGCCACAGAATCATTTCTGCACAATTGTTGAATGGGAATCTGATGCCAAAAAACTTCCACCTGAGATGGATTGGTTGACAGAGGGGCTGCAACGATGGCTTGACCAAGACTGAGGTGGTTTGCTGTACACAGGGTCGCAATGAATCAGAGCAGACTTGATGGCACCTAACAACAACATCCCTTTATTCTCAGAAAGACAAATATCCAACACTAGTGGGAGAAAAAAAACAAACAGGCAGTTATGTTTGCATTTTGAGTCAAACTATTTTACAGTTAACTTTTGGATCTATGGATAATAAAAAATCCTTTTTAAAAAAACCTTCCATCTGAAACAAAAGTTCTTTTTGGCCTTAAAACCAAAATCTGTCTATCTCAGAAGCAACAAAGCCCACATGGAAGAAGCACACCAGCCCGTGTGATCACAAAGTGCCGAAGGGATCAGTTATCAGGCATCAAAAACGAAAAAAATCATATCATTGTGTGCTCACCTCCCTGATATGATCACTGAAAACAGGTGCATAAGCAAATGTGGCGAAGAAAGCTGATGGTGCCTGGCTATCAAAAGATATATAGTGTCTGGGATCTTAAAGGCTTGAAGGTAAACAAGCGGCCATCTAGCTCAGAAGCAACAAAGCCCACATGGAAGAAGCACACCAGCCTGTGCGATCACTGAGGTGTTGAAGGGATCAGGCATCATCAGAACAAAAAATCTTATCATTGTGAATGAGGGGGGGAGTGCAGAGTGGAGACCCAAAGCCCATTTGTAGGCCACTGGACATCCCCTTACAGAAGGGTCTCAGGGAGGAGCCAGTCAGGGTGTGATGTAGCACCGATGAAACATACAACTTTCCTCTAGTTCCTAAATGCTTCCTCCCACCAACCCCCACACCCCCACGGTATTATGATCTGAATTCTACCTTGCAAGCCTGGCTAGACCAGAGGATGTACACTGGTACAGATAGGAACTGGAAACACAGGGAATCCTGGGTGGATGATCCCTCAGGACCAGTGGTGTGAGTGGCAATACTGGGAGGGTGGAGGGAGGGTGGGTTGGAAGGAGGGGACCGATTACAAGGCTCTACATATGGCCTCCTCCCCCAGAGATGGACAGAAGGGTGGGTGAAGGGAGATGTCAGACAGTGCAAGATAAGACAAAATAATAATTTGCAAATTATCAAGGCTTCATGAGGGAGGGGGAGCGGGGAGGGGAAAAAATGAGGAGCTGATGCCAGGGGCTTAGGTGGAGAGCAAATGTTTTGAGAATGATGAGGGCAATGAATGCACAAATGTGCTTTTGCACAATTGATGTATGTATGGATTGTGATAAGAGTTATGAGCCCCTAATAAAATGATTAAAAAAAAATCTGGAGCCCTAGTAGCCTAGTAGGTTAAGAGTTGACTGCTAGCACAAAGGGCAGCAGTTCAAGCTCATCAGCCATTCTGAACAAAGCTGTGACCATCTGCTTCTGTACAGATTTACAGTCTCAAAAACTCTATAGAGCAGTTCTACTCTGTTCTAAAGGGTCACCTGCTGTGTGTGTGTCAGAATCCACTCCACAGGAGTGGGCTTGGGGTTCTAATAAAACCCAAATCAAGATCAACCTTTAACTTTGGCTGTTCCTCTCTTGGTGCAAAGATCACTGTTCAGGCGTTTAAATGATTTATAAAAGAAATATGAAAAGTGGCGATCAAAAATATGACCATTAACAACGCTTAGATAAGGCTTCCCAAGGTAGTACTTTCAAAAACAGCATGTTCTGATGTATTTCATAAAAATAAGTCACATTCACTTCTGATTAAATTACAGATAAGCTTCAAACCACAAACTGATGTGCTCTATCTACAAAGACTCTATTGTAGAGTTATAATTTACCCAATTCACAAAATGTAGTTACCTTTTAATCAGGACATGAAATTGGTATCTTAAAGCTACTTGACTCAATTTCAAAGTTTAAAATATAAACGATCTGTAGAAAGTTTGTTAAAATTATATATACAAAGTTTATATGCATACAATCACATATTAACAACAAATAAACCCAAGATTACCAGTTATGGCAAATTTTCAAACAATCAAGGCAAGGAACAAACATTTAATTCAGAGTTCACACCACATATGTACTAAGAGGTTTCAAAAGGTTCATGAAAAAAAATCATGGAAAATTTGAGTTGAAAGATAATGGAGTTTCCCCCACAAACTTTCTGAAGACCCCTTGAACAGAACTGACTAAAGAAAACACAAAGGACCTTGATTTCCCATGTTAATCAGTCAAACTCAAGGCTTAACATATACTGTATAAAGTATACTGAATGGGGAAGATCTGTAGTTAGGTATTCTTTTTCTTTTTTTTTTTTCTTTTCTTTCAGGGGAGAGCGGGAACGCAGTCCTCACTACCACAAATTATGCAGTTTACCACATTGGGGAAATCGCAGGGGTCAGCACACCCATAGTGCAATGGATAAGCCTCGCCCTGGGAAAACCACCTTCTTGATCATGGTGTCTCCCCTGCCAGGGTATTTAGGTATTCTTTAAATTACGTAGCATGCTCTTGTTTAGGTGTGTTTATGTGAAAAGAGTGGGGCAATATAAATTTGAATATAGGAGGCTTCAAAGAATTGGTGGAATAATTTCATTACCTTTCAATTCTGTTTTTGTTTTGTTTTTTTCATAAACCCCCCCCAATGGTAACATTTTTATTTTTATTTATTTATTTTTTAATCAATTTACTGGGGCTCATACAATTCATCACAATACATAGATCAATTGTGTAAAGCACATCTATGCATTTGTTGCCCTCATTATTCCCAAAACTCGCTTTCCTCTTGGTTTTCATAAACTTTTTGAAACCTTATGTTTCAATTGTTTTGTTTTGTTTTTTTTAATTAAGGGGCTCATAGGGTCACTAAATTGACATCGGCTCAATTGTGAGTTTATTATGCTACATTGGATGAGTCCCCTAATCTCAAAGTTTTGATTTTCTTTTCTCTTAAAATAAGATTCTATTTTGTCATACTACTCAAAAATTTTAGTTTTGGGATACATCACTCACTCTGCCATCAAGTTGATGTCAACTAACCAGGAATTATATACATATTTTAAAAGATGATCTATACTGTTGAACTCAAAACAGTATGTATCATAGAGTTCCACTCATAGACATGTTTAACGTACACAGAAGTGTCTAGAAAGGTGAACACACATTTCTAACTGGTTAGGCCCTGGTAATACTTAAGTGATTTAAAATTTTTCATTTTTGCGTTTTGCTTTTCCGTACCAGCTTTCTACAATGACTTAAGAACTTGCTTTTCAAATTATGTAAAACAAAACTTGCAGATGTTGTATAAATAAGGCAACACTTAAACAAAAGCTGTTTTCCTACTAATCGCAAACATAAATCTCTTCTGGACACTGGTTCAAGTATACCTTATTCTTTTTTCATTTACAACATTTCTGTTGTGGTGAAATAAAGTTCAAGCATATCTCTTATTTCTATTTCACTATAAGTAGCTTAAGATCAAGGACTATATATTTGTACACCCCAAGGCACCCATGGTCTTACAAACTCACAAATCTCTAATGAGCTCTTAAATACAGTTAAGTTCATGAGTCAAGAACCAGAGACTTACCCTTTAATATTATGGAAATGTGCCCTCACTTTGAACTAACTGAACCAACCCAAGTTCACAACAAATCCTTCATCACAATCATCTTCCCTTGCTGCTCCTGTGGCTTTTAGACCACTGGAAAAGCTTCAAGCCTTTTCTTGCACTAAAACCCAAAGTGAACCCAACCCACTGAGTAGAACAGAGAAGAACTTCCCCCATCCCCACCCCCAATTTGTTTTCAAAGTTGTAATCTTTATGGTAACAGACAGCCACCTCTTTCTCCTACATATAAGAATTATGGGTTTGACTCACCAACTTATCAGCTGGCCTACCCACTGCACCAGCAAGGGTTTCACAAAAGCAGTTGGGGGAACCTTTATTCTTCTAAGGGCCATTTGGATATTTATAACATCATTCTGGAGCCATACTGGTCAAACATTTAATGAACACACCCCTAGTGTGATGGCTGGAACTGCTTCTCTTTGGTGAAGTGTGTGATGTTAGCTGCTATTGATTTCACAGGCCTTATACTGCCCGTAGGACTACGCTGCCCATCCCTGCACTAAATTAAGGCTAAATAAGAACTCTATGCACTTGTACTGACTTACCTACAAATGGCACTTAAAGACAGCCCATAAGAACTGATCTTCTTCACAACCCAGGTACTGCCTGACACAGAGAAGTAACCTACAGAATGACCACCTCTGGAGAGGGCAGGTGCTTGGCTAGGGAGACCTTAATGGAGAGCACTTGACCTTCGCACTACATAAAATCTGCACCTTCACAAACAGAACAAAATAAATTTTGAATAGAAAAATATACTTAAGAAATAACTTAGGTAGTTCAGGATGTACTCATTTAAGTATGCTTACAGATATCGAGAAACACTAAGCGAGAAATCAAGCTATTTCCAATCCTAACTAAGGTTAATCAGCTTATGGGTTCAACTGTCTGCAACACAAAATCAACCACCTTTCAAACACTTGATACCAGTCTCAAAGTCACCCACAAGTAAATTCTCTGGGAAAAACATCCTTACTTTTGAAGTTCGACATCTATGACGACAAAAAGACCTCAACAGAAAACTGCATTCTTTTAATCAGGTATACAGTGTTGAAAGTTACGACCACCCACTGCCATTGCGTCAATCCCAACTAATCATGTTCTTAAAAGGGCAGAACAGACCTGTCCGAAAGGATTTCCAAGTGCTATTGAGACAGCCAGTCACATCATTTGACTATGAAACAGCTGATGAGTTCAACCCTCGGATGTTTGGGGTTAGGAATAGAGTGCTTTTAAAACTACTGTGCTACCTGGGTGCAGACCACTACAGCATTCTCATAACACTTAAGTATGGTAACAGTCATAGAGAACCCAGACATGCTTCAAAAAAAAACCAAAACTACCGTACTTTCACTTGAAATATAGTGGCAGATAAGATCTGTTTAATAAATTCTATTTACATCTCCCATTGAAATTCAACTAGTCTAGCTCAGCTCTTGCTTGCTATCAAAATACTACTACTAGCTAACCAAAATAAATTACAATTCAAGGAGGAAACCCACTAAAAAACTTAAAATCTTTATGACGAATTTTTTGAAATTTCAAGATATTTTTTTT